ACTAGAAAGGAGAAACAGGCTGAAGTCTGGTCACCTTTGACATCATTCAGTTATTTACCCTCCTTTCAGACTGGTAGCTCATTAGTCATATCTCAAGTATAACTGAGAAGAATAAACGTTTTTACCTCTATACAGCAAATAAGCAACAGTAATTGGTCTTTGCTTTTTATCCTTAAGAAACTATCACTTAACAATGATTCATTTAGAAGGTTCCAGACTCAGGATACAATGTAGCCTCAGTACCTACTCTCACTATTGACCTGGGAAATATTCCAACTTTCATATTACAGCTATTCACGTTGAATATTTATTTTGTAACCAGTTTTTTAGTGGAAAGGAAAACCATCTTCAGGATTCACAGCCTTAAATCGAGGAAAATATATTTAAAGGAAATGTAAGTAATTCAAGGGGAGAAAATGTACTTTTCTAGGAAAAATGTTGCATGGGAAGTGGGTACTATGGATTCATTAAAATACAGGCAAATAAAACAACTCAAAATAGACAATGACTTCTGGCTGTAGAGGAAACCTGATCATCCAGGTTGTTTCTGTTTATTATGAATGCCTCTGTTCAAGGAAATCTGTATTTTATACCACTTGTATTGCACTCTGCCACATTAAGCCTGCATTACACAGTGACTGCACATATACTGAGCAGGATTCACTTAAAAGCACATTCTACAAATGTATCATGCACTTGAACGAGAAGGCACATGGCCACTCTTCACACATGACTATAGTCTTGGGACAATGATCTCCAGAGAGATTTCATAAGACCTTTTCACTGGAAGGATCAAGGTCTACTTATGATTAGACTGACATGTATGATGGGCAGTTTGGTATTTTCCGCACTTATATTTCTTTTAGTTCCCTGAAGAGCATGCCGTTCTCCGTGGAGGTTACCGTAACAGGGTCACCGGCAATATTGGCGTGGCTTACCAGTAGGCAAGGGAGGGGTGCTCCTGCAGAGTTTTGGTTGGAAAGGCTGGTAATGTCTTTAAATCTTTCCTGGCATTTTCATCACTAAAAAGAAAAGTAATACAGTATGTCAGTCGTTGTTACCTAAAAGATTACCCAAGCTGGTCACCACATGAAATCTGAAAAGTAACAACAGCACACTGGGCTCTGCCAAATGTTATTGTCAGCATACATAAGGCTGTAGACTTTAACTAAAGGCAGTCCCCAAATGGACAACCAACCTGATGAGATTTTGAAGTTTTTAAAAGACAAAAAAAAAAAAAAAAATTTAAAATACTATTAAATTGCCATAATCCCATTTTCCTTACTTATAAACTCCATTTTCATTGTATATTTCCTATATGTGTCTATTTTATTATTGATATATAATTATTACTACAATTGTGCACACTTTATATTCTATTTTTACGCAGCATTCTTCAAATTTCATTATACACTTTCTCCACACTCCTGTAGTACCCTCATAATTATTTTTAGTGGTTATATAATATTCACAATGTTGGAACACTGGTTATCCTAAAACCATTCACATAGAATCACCACTTTTCATAATAGCTATCATTGCAATAAAAACGTTTGAGTATAGACCTTTCTATTACTCATCTGTTACTTCCTTGACACTCTCTGAAATAAAATGGACCAAGTCAGCCATCTGCGGAAATCACTTGGATAGAAGATGACTTGAGGGACTTCCCTGGTGGCGCAGTGGTTAAGAATCCACCTGCCAATGCAGGGGACACGGGTTTGATCCCTGGTCCAGGAAGATCCCACATGCCACGGAGCAACTAAGCCCGTGTGCCACAACTACTGAGCCTGTGCCCTAGAGCATGCGAGCCACAACTACTGACCCCACGCGCCTAGAGCCCGTGCTCTGCAACAAGAGAAGCCACCGCAATGAGAAGCCCACGCACCACAACAAAGAGTAGCCCCCGCTCGCTGCAACTAGAGAAAGCCTGCGTGCAGCAACAAAGACCCAACGCAGCCAAAAATAAATAAATTTTAAAAAGTTAAATTAAAATAAAAAATTTTAAAAAAAGATGACTTGAAAATGTGTTTCTAATGAAATCCAAGGAAGTTATCCCTCAAATTGCAACAAGTGAACTAAAATGTACCTCATGAAACATCAGCTAATTTTAAAATGGCAAAATTCTGGGAATACAGGCAATATTTTGTAATAACTATGAATGGAGTTCAATCTTTAAAACCTGTGAATCTCTATGTCATACACTTGAAACATATAATATTGTAAATCAACTATATCTCAGTTAAAAACAGTAATACAATGAAAACAAAACAGAACCAAAAAAAGGCAAAATTCTGGTTGTGAAAAGAGAAGGGTGTGGATGGGATAGGGAGGGTGGGAGGGAGACGCAAGAGGGAGGGGATATGGGGATGTATGTATACATATAGCTGATTCACTTTGTTATACAGCAGAAAGTAACACACCGCTGTAAAGAAATTATACTCCAAAAAAGATGTTAAAAAAAAAAGAGAGAGAGAGAAGGGTGTGGTCTTTAAGGAACTTAAGAGAAGGGAGAACAGGTAATATGACCCAGTCAGGTTTGTCCTGCAGTGTGAGAACAGTCCCAAGTATTTAAGAAGGCAGTCTCTGATGAAACAGACATGACTCTCTGGGGTTCATTAGAGCCTAGGATAAGCACATTAAAGAGTTACTCAAAATCATGATTACCCTGGTTGGTGTTCATCAAACAGCATACTGGTAACTTTTTTCCACTTACTTGCCACCTCTTCATATCTTTGCCATTATCATCTCTTTGTTGAGGTTACCAAGAGCAGCATGAAATGCACTTCTAGGGCACTGTTCACCTCATGGAAGTCCCATCACAACTCTTCCCATGTGGTGGGTACTATTACTACCCAGACTACTTCACAAGTAAGAGTTTGAGGTTTAGAGAAGCTAAGCCTCTTGTTCAACATCTCTCAGCTTCTATGTGGAGGAGCCAGAAGGCTTCAAAGGCCAAGACCATAACCACTGTATTCTATTACCTGATTCCCTGAAAGACTCCCAGAGCAGCGTCCTGGGACATTCTCATCTCTGGCAAGGCAGAGCTCCCCTTCACCCTCACCCCTACTTATAAATGAAAACTCTGAACTGATTAGTTGCAAAATCCATCACTCAAGCATTTTTACATTAGCTTCCCCAGGGTTTGCCCCAATGTGAATCGTGATACTGAAAGAGATGAACCCCCAACTGTAGGACTAAACGCTGAACTCAAGGTCAATCTCCTCCCAAAGCATTCATTCAATTACCTAGATCAAATGTTATAGGTCAAACTAGGGAACCAAGTATGGCCTGCAGACACGCTTTGTTTGGTCTATGTTGCACTGTGCTGGATTAGAAGTTGCTCTCTCCTGTCACTTGATCAGGCCTGGTGTAACTGGTTCTCCTTCAATGTCTACAGAAGGTTTGTTTACTGGTTCTATCACCAAGTTTCCCCACCAGGCCACAGGACAATCAGGTGAACCCACTGAGCAACCTGTACATAAACTTACTTTCAGTAGGAACAGATAGAGTTGAGTGTCACCTAGCTTAGAGACGGTATGATTTGTACCTGTCAATGCTATATTTCAAAACTAGGCTTGGGGCCTTTCCTAAAGGTGAGAGATCTGACTTTACAAATTACTCCAGGAAATGAAAAGTCACTTGGCTCCCATTCTTACATAAGGATAAATCTCTCTATTCATTTGAAATCTGAGCAGTATGGCTTAACCACATTGACAATCTCGGGAAACTGGTTTGGGCTTCCTGAAAACCAAAATATATACCACAATCGTATTTAATCACAGTAAAGGTCACCTGTCAACTCCCAGTAATGACATTTATTTCTCTCAATAATTTCTTTTATGCTCTGTCCTTCAAATCCCATTTCCTTTTCAAAGAGGTTGGCTTGTGAATTTTTTGTGAAGGGCAAATACCTGTACATGTTCTGAAGTGACAGACTAAGGATAACACTTTTTGTTATTAATCATCACCACCAGCCACATGTGTGTTATTTCCTGGGTTCATGTGAACTGTGTGCTGTGTTCCAAGAACTCAGCCTCACATTCACTTATTTCTTTGGATTATAGTTAATTTTGTGGCAATCAAGACCTACTAGAGTAGAAGAAGCGAAGCTGCTATTTACCATAAATTCACTTATTCATTTAGCAAATACGTATTAAATGTATACTGCATGCTGAGCACGTAGAAACAGGTGTCATATGACGAAGTTGCTTTTAACTTATACCAATGTAGTCAGCCAAAGGAGAGAGGAGAGAGGGGAATGAAATGAGAGGGAAATTTTATCCATCATTTTATTCAACAAGCTCATGGTTGAGAATAAGTGTGAAACGGGAGACTTGAAGTTGCTGTCCTTTAAGATGATTTTAGTTCCTGTGTCCTTAAAGCACCAGTCTCTCAATATACTGAGATTTTTCTAGTATTAAAGCATTTAACACATGTCTGCTAAACACACAACTTGTATATCTAGTGACTAACTTAAGAAATAGCTACATGTTACAACTGGAGAAAAATACTACCTGTGTTGGATATACTGAAAGATGAACTTTGGCCTTCGACATGTCACCTTCCCAAGGAGTTTTTAATTTTAACTGCACCATTAGAACCTACCCTAGTCCTAAGATGCGATAAGACGTTATACATCTGGAAATGGTGACTAAATAAATCAATAAATTACCAAACGTTAATCACAAGGCAGCATCCTAAATAACAATGAATATTTACTCATTAAGACCTTTTTGGGATACTAATCAATCACTGGGAAGCAACTAAAATGTGCATTAATAGGCAAGTGGCTTAGGGATCATTTTACGGAAAGCTTAGACTACTTTAAAAGGAATATAATTGAATAGGTGGAGCACAAGGGATTTGGGGGGGGTTGTGAAACTATTGTGAATAATACTGTAATCATGGATGCATTTGTCAAAAGCTATAGAACACAGAGTGAACCATGATTTGACTATGGACTTTAGCTAATAATAATCTCTCGTCTTCTTTTCCTCGGCGCTGCCTACGGAGGTGCCCGCCATCTCCTACTCGGCATCATGGCTGCCCTCAGACCCCTCGTGAAGCACAAGACTGTCAAAAAGAGGACCAAGAAGTTCATCTAGCACCAGTCACACTGGTATGTCAAAATTAAGCGGAACTGGCAGAAACCCAGAGGCATTGACAACAGGGTGCGCAGGAGATTCAAGGGCCAGATCTTGATGCCCAACATCGGTTACGGGAGCAACAAGAAAACAAAGCACATGCTGCCCAGCGGCTTTGCCCAGTTCCTGGTCCAGTTCCTGGTCCACAACGTCAAGGAGCTTGAAGTGCTGCTGACGTGCAACAAGTCTTACTGTGCTGAGATTGCGCACAACGTCTCCTCCAAGAACCGCAAAGCCACTGTGGAGAGAGCAGTCCAGCTGGCCATCAGAGTCACCAATCCCAAAGACAGGCTGCGCGGCGAAGAAAATGAATAGACAGCTCGTGTGCACGTTTTGTTTAATAAAACCGTAAAACAGCAAAAAAAAAAAAATCTGTCAGTATTGATTCATCACTTGTAACAAATGTACTACACTAATGCAAGATGTTACTGATAAGGGAAACTGCGAAGAGAGGGGGAGGGGGAAGGAGAGAGGATATATGAGAACTCTCCATACTTTCTGCTCAATTTTTGTGTAAACCTAAAACTGCTCTAAAAACTGAAGTCTATTATTTTTTTTTTTAAAAAGGTAAAAAAATAAAGAAATATACTTTAAATTAGTGGTTCTCAACTGGGGCAATTTTGCCCCTCGGGGGATATTTAGCAATGTCTTAAGACATTTTTTGACAGTCACAATTGGGGAAGGAGGTGTTACTGGCATCTACTGAACTGAGGCCAGGATGCTACTATACATCCTACAATACAAAAGATGGGCCCCCAGCAACAAAGAATTATCTTGCCCCAAATGTTAATAGTGTTGAGGGTTGTGAAACCCTGATTTGGATTATTATAAAACTCCTGATAATTCAACCCTAAAACTTCTAATTGTATTGTATCTTTCAGACTTAAGAATTTTTCTTTTGTGTCACTCTTAGACCATTAAATATTAGAATATAAATATACCTTAGAAGCAACTCTCTAATAGGAGCCAAGTGAGAGAAGCATTAGAAATCCAACTGTCTAAGCCAGCTGAGAAAGGCAAGTGAAGCTCGGCAGCAGACACAGGGACACAATGGGGACTCGGTGGGGACCATGAGGAAGAGGAGAGAACATTACCCACTTGAAGTTACTTAGGATATAGATTTGACTGTGCGTGACAGAGATCAACACTTTAATTTCTCTTTACCTACAAGTTAGAGCTAGAATAGCATGAAGTGTTCAGGGACTGAGACTCTTGTTGCTTCACTGTTCGTGGGGTTCTGCTGTCCTTCACATGGTCTGAGATAGCTCACCACCATGTCCACCTTTTAGCCATCACGTAGGAGAAAAAGAATAAAGGAGGACATACCCACTCCTTTAGGGGCAGAACCTGAAAGCTGCCCACTTCCCCTAATCCCACTGGCCAGAAAAATCACAAGGCTCTTGATAATTGCAAGGGACACTGAGATATGTAGTCTTTATTTTGGGCAGCCACATGCCTTGCTACTAATATTATTACTAATATGGAGAAAAGGGAGATTGGATACTGAGGAAACAGGTGCCACTGCTGATGGGGAACCACCACTCAGATCAATGTAATTTCTGCCACGTGAGAATGTGGATCCACTATTGCCTAATGATTGCACTTTCTTCAAAAATAAGGCAAAATCTCAGAGTTTTACCTAGAATGTCTGAACTTTAAAATATTGCCTCAACCAAAAAACAAAAAAGGAAAGCCAAAAATAAAAAGTAAAGCATTGTGCAGGCTATATAAAACATACCTGCAGACCATCACTATCGCTTTGCAATTTCTGACAAACTAAGAGTAAAGAATGTATAGGGAGGCCCTTCTCAGTTCAGCTTGGTTTCTAGTTTCAGATAATTTACTTACAATGCAAAACATCAGTAGGGCATGAGTAAATGAGACACATAAATAATTCTGACAAATGTGGAATCTGGACCATCCCAAAAGATTACTTTCTCAGGAAAAAACACAGCCTTAATTTCTTTGTGTTAGAAAAGGTTCCTATTAATCCTCCAAATTTGTTCACTTGTGCTATCGCAAAATATCCTTTCTTGTGAATACACAACATCACTTTCTATACGGACCTATTAACACAGGAAACTTCTAACAAGCCACCACCAATAAGGAGGTGATTGAGCTGGGGACCTGTCTATGACACTAAAGGAGGACGAAAAAGCTGGCTGAGACAGATGACCTGGCAGCAAAATGGATTAAATCGTTCAACAAGCAGTGCACAAGTAGAAACCCAAATGGCCAACAGGCAGAGAAGCAAGTGTTCAGCTTTGTAAGTACTCAGGGAAATGCAAATTAAACCTTCAATGAATTACCACTTTGCACCCGACTGCACTGAGGTTACGTGAAGATGAAGGGTGATAGGAACTCCCATCCATTGCTGTAGAATGCCCATTGACATGATCTTTTTGGAAATCTGCATACCCCATGACCCAGAGATCCTTTCCTAGGTATACCTCTAGAGAAACTTATGCAAAAGAAAAGGTTTTATAGCAGCATTGTTCACAGTAAGACAAATAAAGAAAACAGCCCAAATATCCCATAGCAGTAGAAATGATAAAATTACAGTATTCATACAATGGAATACCATGCAGCAAACAAAATACAGACTAGCTTCCCACAACGTGATGAATCTCACGGTATTTAGCAAAGAAGCAAGACCCCAAATAATATATACATCACCATCCCATGTATATAAGTTCGAAAGCAAACAAAATGAAACTACAGAGAATCATACATAGGTGATACAGTATAAAGCAAAACAAGAAAATATGTTCTATACAGCCCAAGCACCTCTGGGGAAAAGAGAGGATTTTTACTGGGAAAGGGGGGTCCACTACACAATGGGGGTGGGGTGGGATCCTGGCAACATTCCTCATTGGGTGTGGTTATGTGGCTGTGTAATTTCTAATTTGTTATTTAAACCATTCATACATGTTTTACACATCCTTCCGGGTGATATAATTCACATAAAACTAAGTCAAATATGGTTAGTGGGTGTAAGGGAGGGTACTGATGAGCAAGCCCGTTGCCATTTAGAAGGCAAGTGTTTCAAACACTGGTGCATTATTTTAAGTTAATCCTGATCATTTTCAGAGTTTAGAACCTGAAGGATTTCACGTTTGAGTGGACTGACAGTAGCTGAGTGCTTATTTGTTCACCCTCCGAAGAACCCCTGCGGGGGAATTTGCCTGGGAGCCAAGGCCACGTGGATGCACTGAGCTGGCAGAGGCAGCCAGGTCTGGCTTGGGCAGAGAAGGCCCCTCCTGGGGCTGACAGGCAGGCAGGGTGGGAGGCTAGGTTTATATGAATGAGGGTCAACCTCAGAATCCCAAGGGAGGGCCTCTAAACAGCCGGGAGATGAGCAAGCCTGGACGGAGATGTCTCTGCCTCGTCCCAGCAGGAAACGCACTCACCCTGCCTGCACGTTCTTTTTTTTTTTTTTTAATTTATTTATATTTGGCTGCGTTGGGTCTTCCTTGCTGCGGGTGGGCTTTCTCTAGTTGTGGCTCGCGGGCTCTAGAGCACAGGCTCAGTGGTTGTGGCGCACAGGCTTAGTTGCTCCGCGGCATGTGGGATCTTCCTGGACCAGGGATCGAACCCGTGTCCCCTGCGTTTGCAGGCGGATTCTTAATCACTGCGCCACCAGGAAAGTCCTGTCTGGACGTTCTTGACCCGAATGCAATGGAAGTGTTATTTTAAAGATGAACTTGACCAGAACTGCCAAGAGGGACTGCTTTCTCCAGGTCCTAGCCAAAGACAATGCCCATAAATCTACAAGACTAGCTCCTTCTCAGTAACAAACCAGAAATTGCTATTCTTCATCCTTTCAGCAGGAATTCAGATGCCACAATGAAGAACACTGCGTTTTATCTAATTATCTAGGCTGATAATTAGATTAAATACCTGATAATACCTCCTTTAGGTATTCCAAGTTCCTATTCTGACAGCTTTCTAGAAGAAAGCGGCCCATGACCCACCATTTAGCCACCGCAGCTCTTTTTCCCATGATGATTCCTTTTGGCATTCCCAAGCCCCTTTCACGGGCTCTTGTTTTTCTTTACTGACCGCAAAAGCCCTGTAGGAATGTGCCAACCTCACTCATTTTTGAGAGAGCCACATGGCTGGCAAAGCTGAGGCCACCCTTTGTGTGCGCTGGAGCAGTTGTGTGGAAACAGCCACCCCCAGCAGATGTGTGCACCTGTTTGTGCCTAATTGGGAACTTGCCCACAGTGACAATCAGCCACCTGCCATTCTCAGGCTGGAGGACGAGGGAGTGCGGGCAATTAGCAAACTGTGGTGCTGGCACTTCTGGAGCAAACGGATCACTGAATGAGATCCCTCAAAGATGGTAGCTGTCAATGCTTGGTGTAGAAGCACCCTTAGGTTTCTAGGACAGTTTAAAAAAAAAAAAAAAAGCCCAAGCCCCAAACTTCCCTTTTCTTTTTGATGCTAACGCTCTTCCTTAACTGAAATTGCAAGCAAAGATACCTACAAAGCACGTTAAATATAATGACCCAATGGAAATGAGCGTAGAAACATCACCAAGACATAAATTAAGCTCTTTAAAAAGTAACTTGGGACTGGAGTCTTGCATGAGTATAACTCATGCATATGCAAATGTAAAAAAGCTATAGTTAATGCCTGTTGAACACTCAAGATAAAGTCTACCATGTAGCCTAAGGGGCCTCCAAGACCTCAAGCAAGTTGTCACAGCTGGGAGCTCTATTTAATACTGTGCTATGTGCAAGCTAAAGATTTACTGTCTTTAGGAACTGGTGTAAATTAGAAACGTTTGCCAGTCTTCTGGAGTTGCCTGTACAGAGGCTGGTGATAAGCCACTTCCTTATCTATGCTTGCTAGAGAGCTGGGGTGGCCGTCAAAGTTTTGCACTATACTGAAGGAATGGTCCATGGCAATGATCATAGCAGCCAGAAAAACTGTATTTAATGTCTGTTAAATGGTGTAACAGGTGTCAACTCAATTACTAAAGCATTCCAGCTGGATCCAGTGTTTAAGGAGGACAGCTTGCTTAAACATGCCATTATTAGAAGGATCTTGGAGACTGAATATAAACACTAATTTCCTCAACTAATCTACCAGCGTTGATCAACACCTTGGTAGTTAGCAGTTGAAGGTATGTTCTCAGTTTACTTAGAGCATTTGTTCACTGGCCAGATTGCCTTCACATCACCCTTTTTTAATTAAAAAAAAAATCATGTTTCTTTCAGTTATCTGGGAACTTGGCCTTCAGTGATGAATCTAGCTTATTATCTCCTTGACTTAATAACTAGGGAGTTCTAACAGTAAATTTGTCTCCA